CCCCACCCCGACCTCCCCCGGCCCCTCTGCCACGCTCAGCCCCTCTGGGCTTCGTGGGAGAGGGAGCGGGAGAGGGTGCGGGGGACCCCCCCCTTGGCACCGCGGAGGTCTGAGGGGGCGAACAGGGGCACGGGGAGGCTGCGGGCGTAGGGCAGGAGGTGCTGGGTCAGGGGCTGGCCCAGGACCCCCACCCGCAGCAGCCCCCAGGGCGAGCGCTGCTCCAGCACCCGCACGGCCCCGCGCTGCTCCAGCGTCTCCCGGCGCTGCGCGTCCACCTCCCGCCGGCACCACCTGGGCACGGGGCACTCGTGGGGGTGCCAGCCGGACCCTCACATCCTGCTCTGACCCTTCGGGGTCACCCCACCCCGCCAGGACCCGTAGAGACCCCTCCCCATGTCCCCCCGACCCGTTCAACCCCATGGGAAGCTCTGGAGACCCCCAGATTCTCCTGGCCCCCTGTGGAACCCCGGCTCCCCCAGCCCCATAAAGACCCCCAGTTCTTCTCCCAGACCCTTCCCAATCTCTCTTGGATACCCCCCCAACACCTCCCTGGATCTTTCCTGACCTCACAGGGACCCTCGGAAACCCCCAAAGCTCCAAGACCCCCTGGAAACCTCCTAATTTGGGACACTTTGAGCCCAAAAACCCCATGGAAACAGAAAAGTTTGGGACCCTCGGGCTGCCCAAATCCCCATCAGCCCCCTTGGAGTCTCCTACAGCCCCAAACCCCCATGGAAACCCCCAATTTTGGAGCCACCCTACAAACCCATGGAAACCCCATCTTTTTGTGACCCTTGGAGCCCCTCAAAACCCCAAAATGGAGACCCCACAATTTGAGACACTCGGAGCCCTCCACAACCCCATGGAAACCCCACATTTCAGGACCCTTGGAGCCCCCCACTACCTCAATCCCCACAAAAAGCCCCCCAAATCCTCCAGCACCTGGTGCCCCCCGTGCCCCCAGCACCCCTGGGACCCCCCTGGGACCCCCTGGCAACCCCCTGGGACCCCTGGCACTCTCCTGGGACCCCTGGCACCCATCTGGGACCCCCTGACACCCCCGTGGGACCCCTGGCACCCCCGTGGGACCCCTGGCACCCCCCTGGCCGTGCCCCTCACCCGTCCTCGGGCCGGGAGCTGAGCTCCAGGTCCAGCCACTCGGCGCTGAAGGTTTCTCTCCTGCCCACGTCCTCCTCCTGCACACGGCAGCCCAGGCGGGCCGAGAGCAGCCCCCTGGAGCCCCCCACCACGCCAGGGCCCACCATGGTTCCTCTTTCACTCCCCCCCACCCCGTGCCCGCCCCGCTTTTATGGCCCCGCTGGGGCTATTTTGGGATGAGCTGCTGGCACCGAGCGCTGCCAGGGAGGGGGGGGTGGCACCTCGGACACGTGTGTGGCACCCACGGGTGTGTCCCCTCCCCTTCCCGCCTTGGGGACGCGGGGCAGACCCTGCCAGCAACGTGATGGCACCGGCAGGACCCGCCCTGGCACCGGCCCTGGGCACGTCTGGCCTTTCCCTGTGTCCCCCACGGCGCTGAGGTGACACGTGCCACCTCCGTGCCAGCCCAGTGCCACCCACAGCGGCCACGCCGCCGACCTCAGAGGGACATTGGGGTCCCCCCACCACAGGACAGGGGTTTGGGGGTGTAGGGACCCCCAAATGGGTGCTTGTGGGGCCATCAGTGGGGTGCCAGTGCCACAGGGCTCATGTGGGGGTGGCTGGTGACAGAGAGGACGTGGCTGGTGACAGAGAGGACGTGGCTGGTGACAGCCCCCAAATGTGGGGGTCCCACCCCAGAGGATGAACCCAGGGCTGGAGGGGCACTGGGGGCAGACAGAAATGCTCCAGGTCGATGGAACTGCCGGTGCCACCATGGGGTGGGGGACAGTGCCACCCACGGCCAGTGGCCCAAGGAGCCTGGACACCCCCCTTTAGCACTGGGAGGGGGGGGTCTTCACGGTGACCCCACCCCCACACCCCCTCCATTCACTGGGTGACAAAAGCCACAATGGTGACACAGAGCTGCAAACAGTGCAAGGCTTTAATTCACACCCCACAGATTTGGGGGGGGGGGGCCGGACCCCCAAGACCCCCGGGAGGGGCTGCAGAGAGCCCGGGTGGGGGGCTGTGGGTGCACAGAGCCCGGGGGGGCTGCAGAGAGCCCTGGGGGGGCTGTGGGTGCCCCCTCCCCAGCGCAGCCCCCGCTCTGCTGCTGCTGCTGCTGCTGTTTTTAGAGCAGCACACGGCGCTCACAGGTAGAGGAGCCGCAGTCGCCCCCGCACCCCCACCCCCAACACCCC